TGCCTTCTCCTTCAGTTCCCTGATTAAAAGCTGTTTCAGAGTATTGAGGAGAAAACAATAGAAAACAGATCATTCTGAACTTTCCCACTTCCTAAGTGAAAGCATCATGTTAATAATTTAGTTTTGGATTTGGTAAACACCTGGATAAGAGACCATACGAGATCATTTCTATCAGAAAGAGGAATGGGCATAATTGTAATAAATGCACTTTTATTGTTGAAATTATGTGATCAATTTCAATTTAGAATAGAGCTGGAAGGGACCTTAGAGGTCTTCTAGTCCAACCCCTTGCTTAAGCAGGAAACCCTATACTATTCCATAAAAATGGTTGTCCCATCTCTTCTCCAGCTCTTGTTCAAAGAACTCAGAAGAAGTTTCCCATTATCGCGCCTAAAAACATTGGAGAACGGGGTGCTCCAATGCAAGAAAGAATTAACATAAGCCCTTTGACTTGCTATGCTCTTTATAAAAATCTTCTCCCTTAGCCATTATTTTATTGTGGAAACAAAATGAAAGGGAACTTTCTTATGAGTGCAAATAATTGTTTCGGAAGAGAAGACTTGTAGTATAGTAGTAAAAGGGAATCTTTCCTTTCTGCTGCAACCATCCTTTTCAGCAGCTGATCTTTGCTCATTTTTAAAAAGGTCCAAATTAAACAAGATGTATAAACATCATGCGTAATTCATCCCTGAAGGGCAATCACTGGCCACATTGTCCAGTAAATCTGAAACAGACTCTTCAGTCTTAACCAATTTACACCATGGTTTCCAAAAGCTGATAGTAACTGCCATTAATGAAAGATCTAGCTTTTTTTTTTCTGAAGTAGAAACTTTCCTTCAGAGACAACTGCACACTAAGATAAGAGAGTGACTGGAAACTGATAGAACTCCAACAGTTGTTGAAGTTTACTTCCCATCACTCAGTATTGGCTAAAATTGATACAAGTTGGAATCCAGAGACATCTGGAGAGTCTCAGACTTAGATTTCCCTCACTCTTTCCCGCCTGGAAAATGAACCAATGGCGGAAGTCTGACTTCACTGACTTTTCCCCATTGAATGTCTAACTTTCCCAATAAGCACTTACGATTCATGTTGATCTGTTGAGACAGTTCTATGAGCTCCATCTCGGTTGGCATGTACCCCATTGTTCTCATGAGGTTACCCAGATCTTTGCAGCTGATATATCCATCTTTGTCCTTGTCAAACTCCTGAAAGGCTTCACAGAGTTCTGTTTTTGCATATTGAGGAAGATTATGAGGATAATAAAGAAACAAATAAAATCATGGCTGGATTTTCGTAACATGCTTGAGTAATTTAAGCTTCAGAGTGTTGTGGGAGATCAGCCTTTAGCATGCTATGTATACCAGGTCACCATATAAACCATATTGATTTGCATGCTTGGGCATATCATTTGTGTTTTGTTAACTTGTATTTAGTAGTTAGCTTGGAGCCATTTTAGAGCAGAATGACACAGAAATTCCATTAATTGATTGACTGTTAAACAAGCAAGCATGTTGTAAGAACCTAGCTCATGAATCTCATTATTTGAAACACCATTAATAAAATGCTTTTGCTTTTATACATTCTAAATCAATGTTCTACTTAGAGACCTCCCATTGAAGTTCATTTACTGAGAAAGTTAAACCAATTCTGACCTTATTTTTAGACTACAAATAGCAGATCCAGAAAGGCTCCTTTTTCACCATCCCTCATCATAAATTCATTTGAGCACACAACTGATATTTGGCTTTTTTAAACAGTCTCCAGGGGAATTCTGAGAGCATGCTTTTTCAAGGAAGATTATCTGCTACTGAGGTCTCTTCAATCTGTCCTAACCTTCCAAAGGACTTCAGCATATCTTGGAGCACCAGTTTAATATATTGGTCAGAATCATATATGTGCACAAACAGAAGTTTGCACTTACCTTCAATTTCATCTCCACTCAGTTCACGGTGCTGTAACAAAACAAAAAAAAATAGTGGAAAGACATTCACTGCAATAGAGGGACATAAATATGGAACTCAGAAGCCAAGGCTCACGATTCCAAATCCTAGAGAAAACTGCTCCTTTTTTTTGGAACTGGAGAAATCAAGGACCTAGTCACCATACTTCTAAACTTAACTCTCCACCCAACCCTAACAACTCAACTGAAGCATTTCATTGTCCTTAGCCAGTGAAAAATATTGCATTCAGAAATCAGCAGTATTCCAAAATGTCAGGTTAAAACACAAATAACTAACTGGAAATGGAAAAGCTAAAGCCATTGGGCTTTTTGATTCACTGGATCCTTTTTCAATGAGATGAATAAATATAATGGAGAGCAAGTGTTATAGTTGAGATGCCTGCTAGCTACTGATTGTGGAAAAAATCAGCTACTGATTAGGAAATAAAGAAGAACATTTGAGAAGACAGCCCCCTAAACCAAGCTGCTTACAGCAGAGGTCAAAAAGACTCAGAGTTTTTTTCTTGTAAACTTTGCTAGTGATTGGAACAAATCCCCAAGTAGAAATTCAAAGAGAAGTTGGAAGATGAGCATCACTTCACACGGACTATACTTATATTTCTGTCATCTTCACTGTTTGTAAACCTAAGTGGTTTGCCAGAAGTGGAGATAAAAACATTAGCAATCATGACTTTTTCAACTGCCTGCCTCTCTCTAATATATGTTCATGTGTACATATATTTACTTTTTTTCTGTCATGTTCTCATATGCTAAATTAAATCTAATTAATTAATTAACAATATCTTGTAAAATATAATTGTCTCTATCAACTTTCTCCTATTTACAGTATTATCTTCCCAACAGTACAGTTGAATTACAACACCCACCATTCTGGACAAATTGGTTGGGGCTTGGAGCCCGATACATTTTTAAAAGGTTGGGGAATCTTTCTTTAGATTTCTTTTGAAGAAAACCCAGGTGTCTATCTCTCCCATCACCATTTCATACTTCTTCTGCCTAGTCTGGACTCCTGATCCATTTCTATTGCATACCCTGAATTAAAAACAAAATACCTCCCTATGGCAGAGAGTGAAATCTGGGAATATTATAATCCTGCCCTGGACCACTTTTAATTAATTGCTATTTCACTGAAAAAAGGCAGAAGTCCAATCCAGTGCATTTCCCCTAACCTGTAGAGCTACCCCACCAATGCCCACAACCCAGTCCCTACTAGATGGCCCATACCCTCTGCTTGTCAGCAATGTTCTTGCGCAAGAAGATGCAAGCCGCTCCCAAGCTGTTCTGCATGGTACAGAGGAATGTGGTTCCCGGTCTAGTCACCAAGTCCTCAGCCAATCGGCCTGGCACCCAATCTTCAGCAGCGGCGGGGGAAAAAACGGCTCTTTGGGAGAGGCTGATTTATAGAGGGAGAAAAGGATCATCTCTTCTTCATTTCTGACCCCTCCTCCACCCAGGCCTTTTTTTGCTTTTCTCCTGGCTGTAACATCTGTAGAATAAATCTCTCCTCTGCCCAGATTAACATCGGCCACGTGGTGAAAATTGGCAGCCTGGACCAGGTTCGCTTCTCAGGAAGTAGGGAAGAGACGGAAGCTTCCAGAACACTGAAATGATGTAGAAAAAGGATGGATAGTCGGTGTATGTGGCTATTAAGCCATCAGGCTAAAAACTGGCTGAATGTATATTCCAGTCCTGGCTTAGGCAGAAATATAGCTGGGTGAGCCAGTCACTCTCTCTCAGCCCTGGAAAGGAGGCAATAGCAAATCATTGCCAAGAAAACAGTGCGACTAGTCCCAGCAATCATGAGGAATCAACAATGTCTTGAAGGCACACATCCCACCCAAATACATACACAAAACCCCACCACAGTATAATCTATTTTAAAAAGTTTAGGTGTAAAAAATAAAGAAAAACTCCAGACTCTCCAAATCTCAAAAGAAAACCCCACATAAATAGATTTTGTCCACTTTATTGACATAGTTTTAAGGGTGTAATGACTACTTTGCCCACTGTGGCCTTCAGCCCACCTGAAAAATATAAATAGATGGCCCTTAGTCATAAAAAGTCTGCTCATCACTGTGCTAACATAAATGCTGCTATGGCAGGTCACACCTGAAAAGATGGACATGTTCCACCAAAATCTGATTTGGCTCTAGTTTGTAGAAACATTTGAGCCTTGAGAGCTTCAGAGCAGTCATGACCTAAATTAACTACTAAGTGTGCTTCTTAAAATTGGAAAAAAGGTGGTGGTAACTCTAAGGTTTCCTACCTGAGAAGATGTTTGACTAGAAGACCTCCAAGGTCTCTTCCAACTTAAATTATCAAGTTATCTCAAGAGAGATGAGTGCAGTCTCTCATACTCACCACCTTGTTTAGCACACATGCGCACGCACACACACACACACCAGCCAGATACATGTAGGATAAGACAAAGGAGAAGGCACCAGGCTGTGGGTCCAACTACTGAGCCTCTTTTCCTTGTGAGTCTTCCTCCTCCCTTTACAGCTGTCATAGTAACCAGGTAGATTCTTCCTTCTCCTTCATTGGTTGCTAGGAGCTGGAGTAGAACCCTTAAAGAGAGAGGAAGAGAGAGAAAGGCTGGTTGCAGGGATGAAGGGCGGAAGGCTTTGAGGCGGTTGGGAGTGTGGGACATGGGGATGATGGGATGAGAAGAAGTTTGCATAGCTGGCAAGTGGTTGAGTTGGAATTAAAAACATGGATGGGGGGGAAAGGGCTCTTGGACCAATCACCTGGGAGGTCAGGGAATGTAAAAAACTGTGGCAGCCATTTGGTGTGCCTCATTATATTTGCCCACCTAACTCAGCATTTTATCCTAAATGTAGCGGCACTACATATTCTCAGGAGAGATCTGTGGTTTGAAAGGCGACTCGGGGGGGCTCCTGCCTACAGCATGTGTGCTCCAAGGTTCAATCTCCCCCAGAATGTTGAGAATCAGTCTAGAAAATAGGAATGTAAAAACCCAGCAAAATGTCTAACTTCCTTCTTGTCCTTCTCCTTGAAGACCTGCACCCCCCAGGCCATGCAGTCTGGACGCCGGGGGCGCTTGTCCATTGCAGGGCCAAGCAACCAACCCCAAGATACCGTTACCAACAGCCCCTCCATATCTGGTGATCTTCGGCTGCTCCACACAATGTAAGTAACGATGTGAAGGAGGTGATGATGTTTTCTTCTCCCCATCTAAACTCAACTGATGGTTTCTAGCTTGAAGAGACCAGGTCAAGGTGCTGGTTGTTTAAAGCTTTGGATAGGTGGAGGTGTCCCTATGTAAAAAGCCTCTTTTTCCATACAAAACTGTTCAATACTGGCTCACATGTTTCAACAGAGATCAGGCTAGTCTTGCTCTAAGCCAGCATTTTTAGAAGCAGCTGAAAAATGCATCTCTTCCTGGCAATTCCTACAGCTAGGACATGACAAGGCTTTTCGGCTTGACCTCGATGCAGTTAGATTTCTGATTATCTTCTGTCTGACTTCTTGATTTATGCCTTCAATATTTATGGCTGCGCTGTTATTTTGTTTTCTGTTCGGCTTTATATTTGAATTATTTTAATAAATTATTACATTGATTTGGTGTTAAGGCCTGCGCCTTGTAAATATATTGGATCTTCAACCTTCATGATTTGAAATGTGAAGTTGCTGGATTTTAGCATCATGGTAAGGAGCCTCGGTGGCGCAGTGATTAGAGTGCAATACTGCAAGCTACTTCTGCTGCAGCCAGCTGCCTGCAATTTGGCAGATCGAATCTCACCAGGCTCAAGGTTGACTCAGCCTTCCATCCTTCCCAGCTGGGTAAAATGAGGGCCCAAATTGTTGGGGGCAATATGCTGACCACTTAGAGAGGGCTGTAAAGCACTATAAAGTGGTATATAAGTCTAAGTGCTATTGCTATTATTATCTTCAGCAACAAAAGAGGAAAGCTACTAAATGCAAATATGTTGGTCATCCTTCCCAGAGACTGTGGAGATCAGCTACTCTGCTGCCAGTTCAATAACGATGGGACCAGGGTTGCAGCAGGATTGCGTACTGGAGCCATTAAGGTCAGTGTCAGGCAGGGAAAGAGGGCAGTTCCAGAAACTAGGATTGTCCTCAGAGGGGCAATCAAAAAAGTCAAGAACACAGCCACACTCATGCAGTTGAAGCTCAACCCCTTTTTCATATGTGGCACAAATATGTTACATATGTGTGTGTCTGATCCCAATTGCATAGCCGCAACTCAAAAATATAAGGACACTTCAATCCCCACAATGGAAGAATGGCTGCAAAAGAGTGGGCAGACATGGCTAAATTGACTCCTCTGATAAAAGAAAAAACATAAACACTTTTGTTTCTACTTGGAAACCACTTCTGGACTTTGTGCTTGAGGTGGGAAAAAATGAAACTTTGATTTTGGGTTTTACCAATTAGATAGATTTGTTGATACAGAAATGGTTAATTCATACTACTATGTAAAAATAGAAAGTTGAGGTTTGGTATTATTATCTTATTTTACTGCACCAAAGGGAGTCAGAGGTCAATGCCTTTTCTTTCTTTTTCCCTTCTTTTCTGCACTCTTCCTTTCACTTTTCCCTCCCCTATTTTCCTACTATTTGTATTTTTTGTATTTTATATTGTAAACAAATTTTTTTTAAAAAGAGTTCCCAACCAGAGGCTCTTAAAATCCAAAAAATTGCATAGCCACAGCTGCCCTCTTAACTTTTTACACACACATACAGATACACACAGATACACACAGACACACAGCTGCCCTCTTAACTTTTTACACACACATGCAGATACACACAGATACACACAGACACACATAACCTACAAACAGGTGCCGTACACTCTTTGGCCCCAATGTTCAGCAGTCTTACCTTACCTGACTCCCACTCCCAGGTGTGCTACACTCAAGAGGCTGAGGTGTGGTTCAATTTCCATCTGAAAAGCAACAGGCTGGAAGGTAGGGATTTTGAACACCCACCATTTCCTGCTAAAAATCAAATGGATGAGCAGGATCAGAGATAACAAAATTCTTTGCCCTTTCTTTTTTGGCATCTGATCCATCATCACAGATTTTCAGCACCCTCAAAGCATTCTGCACAACGCTTGCTTCAAAATAAAAACATGAGCACATCAAAGCATTACAGAACCGAAGAAAGGACAATTTACAACAAACATAGGGGCTCATGTGATGTACTGTAGTAGTTATAATGTTAGACTAGGAGCGGAGAAAATTGGATGCAGGTCTATTCTCAAGTATGGAAATGCACCAGATCACTTGGGCCCAGTCCTTCCTCTCAGTCACCTCATAGGGGTTCAAAGTGAAGAGAGATTCCCTCATAGACGACTTTGACGTTCTAAAAGAGATTACAAATATAACAAATTATACTAATCGGAGATTTGCAATCGTAAATATATTTACCAAACAGTAAAACCACCGGACTCCAAAGGACTTGCATCTGAGTAGATTCACACAGAACTGCAATGAATGGTGATTTGATTGTCTCATGTTATGATTACAATTAGATCTCCAACAGTGTACAGATAGTCCTTGACTTACGATCATAACTGAGCCCAAAATTTCTGTTGCTAAGTGAGTCATTTGTTAAGCGAGTTTTGCCCCATTTTATGACTTCTCTTTCCATAGTTGTTAAGCGAATCACTGCACTTGTTAAGTTAATAACACGGTTGCCAAGTGAATCTGGTTTCCTCATTGACTTTGCTTGTAAGAAGGTCATAAAAGATGATACTGCAACTGTCAGAAATGTGAGTAAATTGCCAAGCATCTGTATTTTGGTCACATGATTATTGGGGATGCTGCAATAGTTGTAAGTGTGAAAAATAATCATGTTACTTTTTTTAGTGATGTTGTAACTTTGAACAGTCACTAAATGAACTATTTAAGTTGCGGACTACCTGTATATTGCAAATTGTCTTATATCAAGGAGCCTCACTGGATCATTTAGCTTAATTCATCAGGGATAGATAAACTGTAGTCTTCACAGCATTCTGAATTATACCACCAATATTTAGATAGAAGCCTCTTTAGTTTTGTTCAGTGTGTTCCCTTCCTTCCTTCCTCCCTTCCTTCCTTCCTTAACACATTCCAGTCATAAATCCTCAATCTATATGCTAAAGTGAACACCCACACATTCAAACAAGGAAAGGATAGCCCTACCACCACCAAAAAGACAAAAAATACTGTTAAACCTAGACAGTATTGACTTGTTGCAATTATTATCTAGGATCCCAGACAAATTTATTTCCTGGATGGTGAGGGTTGAATGGTACTGGTATATCTTCATAAATTTGCAAAGTATATGGTGTATTGAATCCATCCTACAGAAGTGGAACCATAACACTGTTCGAAGAGTTGTTTTGTGCCATATTACCAGTTTCAGCTCCAAAACTACAATTTTATAGAATATAGTTTCATAATATTTTCCATGGGAAACACCTATGTTCTCTTGGATTTCCATGGTATGGTTTTTGCTTAATAGAATATTAGTCATTTCTTGTTGAATTGTTAACCTCGTGTTGTCCTGATATCTCTTCTCCCCTGTGCTCGGTTTATTCTCGCCTGCTCTTAAGGTTTTGTGCTGATATTTCTTTGTCTTCTCTCCTGTGCTTAAGGTTTATTCTGTCAATGATGGGTCACTTCATCATATTCTTGCTGATAATGACACAACATCCCTAGGACTTCCCACCACCTCAATGCACTTTATGCCCCGTGGACCTGCCCACAATGGAGATGTCTTACTTACCACCTGTGAGTGATGCTTTTCTGATATATGATGAAGTTTGATTGCAACTTTATTTTATTTTATTTTTTTATTTTTATTTGTCAATTGCTTACAAGATAATAGGTATAAGTAAAAAAAATAGTTATGAATACATGGATACATATAAGAAAAATAAAAAATATATAAAAGAAACAATAAGACAGGCACGTTAGGCACGTTAGTGCGCTTATGCACGCCCCCTACAGACCTCTTAGGAAAGGGGTGAGGTCAATAGTAGACAGTCTAAGGTTAAAGTTTTTGGGGTTTGGGGAAAAAAACCACAGAGTCAGGTAGAGTATTCCAGACATTGACCATTCTGTTGCTGAAGTCGTATTTCCTGCAATCAAGTTTGGTGCGGTTTACCTTGAGTGATGCTTTTCTGATACATGATGAAGTTTGATTGCAACTTCTTGGCGCACATAATATATTTCTGGAGTATGCAGTTTGGAGTATGCAAACCCTGAATATTCTTAAGCCTTCATAATAAATGATAAATTTAATGAAAAGAAGGACTAGGGGTGACATGATAACAGTATTCCAATATCTAAGGGGTTGCCACATAGAAGAGGGAGTCAAGCTATTCTCCAAAGCACCTGAAAGCAAGACAAAAAGCAATGGATGGAAACTAATCAAGGAGAGAAGCAATCTAGAACTAAGGAGAAATTTCCTGACAGTTAGAACCATTAATCAGTGGAATGTCTTGCCTGTAGAAATTGTGAATGCTCCAAAATTGGAATTTTGTAAGAAGAGGTAGGACAACCATTTGTTTGAAACGATATAGGGTTTCCTGCCTGAGCAGGGGGTTGGACTAGAAGACCTCCAAGGTCCCTTCCAACTCTGTTATTCTGTTATTTGGTTTAGTTTGATATGTGAATGGAGCTATTTAGCATTGCCATTTGTACTTCTCTTCATCTTCTAACTGTGGCTGTCTCCTGAAGCATTGACACAGAAAACCTATTCCACATTTGATGTTTTACAAAAGTTGTTCAGAAAAGGACTCTTCCTAATAATGCTCCATTTTGACTTCTGTTGCCCCATGAAAAAGAATGTTCTCTATCTACATTGAATAATATCATTACAACTCTGGGCTCTCTCCCAACCATAGATTCTGGCGGGAAAGTAAAGCTATGGCACATTTCTACTCACACCTGCATACGCACCATCACAGAAGACCGCCAAACCCTCGCAGCCTGTTTCAATCCTTCTGGCTCCAGGTTTCTCACAGGTGGAGCAGGACCTGGAATTTACATGTATGATGCTCAGACCTGGGATAAAGTGCAAAATTTTCTGCCCAGGTAGGTACGCTGTTAAGTTTCGGACATTAGCTCTCGAGAGGGTCAGAAATTGTAAGAATTTCTCAACTTAGTAGGAATTTTGTGGATGGTTTTGGGCTTTCAAGTCAATTGTAATGGGCAGAAGTCACAGGAGAAAGAACTCCAACCAAGACAATGGTCAAGTAAAAGAAAATATTTGTAGCTGTTATTGGTAGTTTGGTTCCCTGAGCTTGCTGTTTGCCTTCCGAACATTTCATCACCAGGTTAAGTAACATTGATTGAAGTGTCTCATTTCAGTCCTCCTCTGCTTTTAAATGGTATTGTGTGGTTAAGTAGTTGATTGGCTGTATGGTTAACAAGTCACATGATGCAAAGATCACCTTGGTGGGAAGGTCACATGAGGCCATGTGCTGGTTGGAGGTCACATGAGGCCATGTGATCGGTCATGGCATCGGTCATGGCATGCAAAGGTCACCTGGAGGTCAAAAGAGTTTTGGCTAGAACTGTAATCTGCGTAAAAGTCTCAGACAAGATTCTCTGTAGGCCACATGAAAATAAAGGGAGGAAGGGAGCAAGCTCATTTAAATTGGCAAAATTGTGTTAGTACAGCCTTATGATAAACGGAGTATTAGCATGCATAACTTAGGTTTCCTAATCTGGACTACTTCAAAGAGCTGACTATATCCATTTTTTTTTCCTCCAGTGATTCCCCAACTGTGATGGATGGACATATGTCCCGAGTCTATGCTTTGGTCTTCTTCCCAGAAAATAATGAACGCTTCATTTCTGGAGGATGGGATGACACAGTGCAGGTGAAACTCTGAGACTCAGTAGTAGCCACCTGACCAAACCAGGAATATTGGTTGTGCTACCGAGCAGTTATGAGGTTGAGAATTAGCAAATGGAAACTTCAGGATCCAGTACAGAAAATGGCCCATGAAAAATACTTTTCTCTAGTTACAGGACGTACTTTAAAAAGAAAACCTACCTGAGAATAATTCTCCTTTCATCCATCCCAGCTTTTTTATTTGGGGGGTGGGGCTGCTGGTATTGTGTTATCCTGCAAATGTCAGAGCTACTATAGAGTTGTAGGTTTGAACAATCTAAAATCTCAGCCAGGCAGACCAGTATTTTGCATAAATGCAAGGAGAACCTATAAAACATGCAAAATTCCCAATGAAGCTGCTCCACCTCCATTCATGCGAATCCAGGATGGTTTGATCCAAAATAGAAAGATTGGGGGGTGGAGCTTAATAGCCATAGCAACCACAATAGCACTTAGACTTATATACCATTTCCTAGTGCCCTACAACCCTCTCTAAGCAGTTTACAGAGTCAGCATATTGTCCCCAACAATCCAGGTCCTCATTCATGTCTCCACCTCCAACCTCCAACCTCTTTTTAAAAACAATTCACTTGTCTCTATAATGGGAGGAAGGATGTGGGGATTTTTTTAAAAAGGGGGGACTGAAGGAAAAGGTTAGGCCCCCCCTGCCTCTTTCCATGGTCCAAACCAGAGGTGGTATTCAGCAGGTTCTGATCAGTTCTGGAGAACCGGTAGTGGAAATTTTGAGTAGTTCAGAGAATCGGCAAATACCACCTCTGACTGGCCCCACCCCCATCTATTCTCTGCCTCCCGAGTCCCAGCTGATCATCTGGGTCTTCTTTTGTTGCCCTGCACAGGAGAATGGAGCTGGAAAGCCGGTCAGTGGGGTGGTGAGGGAATGGGGATTTTACAGTATCCTTACCCTGCCATGCCCACCAAGTCACACCCACCAAGCCACAGAACCAGTAGGAAAAAAGTTTAAATCCCACCACTGGTCCAAAGATGTGGAGCAGACTGTGGGTGTGCAACTTTTAGGAATCTTTATCATCTTTTTTTTTTAATTTTGATCTTTGAAAGGCATCAGGTGCAGGTTACAGACAGATGGGTAGGAATGTGGTGCCATCTCTGGAGGGATGAGGCTGGATTTTTCAGCCATTTGGAGGGTGGGGTTTGAATTGGTCAGGTAGCTTCCAATAGTGTAACACTATTAAAAGAAAGAGGTGGGTTTAAAAAAACTTTTTTACCATAATCATGCTGCCCAAAAGAGGTAATTTAGCTGTAAGTTTTGCCATTTTGGTAGGAAGATCTCTGAAGGCCACAGGGAGTTTTGGGCTTTGGGGAGCCTAGGACTGGAATAATTTAAAAAAAAAAAATCAGAAGAATGGCTGTATAATACATATTTTACAGATTGTGTATTTTGTCTCAAGAGACATACCTTAAAATGCGTCCCAGAATCATAGGCACCATTAACAGTTCCATAGGCTAGAGGTCCCCAACCGCCAGGCCATGGATTAGCATTGGGCAGCAGCATGCCAGAAACCGATCCATGCAAACAAGCAAAGAACCATCTGCGATATGCAGGCAAGACATAAAACCACACCCCATCCAGTCCACAGAAAACCTCTCTCCACAGAAACAGTCCTTAGTTCCAAAAGGTTGGGGGCCACTGCCACAGGTGATAGACCAGGCAAGGGAAATATTATCAAGCGGGCTTTGGAGGTTGTGAAGGTATCTAACTACTTTTTTTTTTCTTTTTGTCCTTCTAGTTTTGGAGCACACAATTTCCACATTCGCAAAAGTATGTCTAAGTATCTCCCCTACTTCTCCATCCTTACCTCACTCGTTGGGGCTCTTCTCCACCCTCCTCCCTCTTCCATTTCTCTCCCCCCCACAACCTATTGTTTATTTTTCTATCGCTTCTGTTCTTACATATTTCCCACCTTTGCTCTGCCTTTCTCACAGGCGTATCTCTGGGCCCCACATCTGTGGGGATGCTCTGTCAATAGACAAAACGGGCTCACAAATTTTGACGGGATCCTGGAGGCGGCATAACACCTTGCAGGTAAGAGTGGTGAAGAGACACCTCTGAAGCTCCAAATTTGATCTAGATCAGGGGTCTCCAACCTTGGCTATTTTAAGACTTGTGGACTTCAACTCCCAGAGTTCCTCAGCCAGCAAAGCTGGCTGAGGA